ACCATAGAGTCCATAATCCATAATAACGCTTCCTCCAGTGAAAAAGTGCATCTGCTGTTGTCTCTCACATCAAAATCCAGCCACATATTTGTTTAGAGCTGTTTAAACGCTGCTTGATCTGTGCAGATTTCTCTCCTGATTCAGACCAGAGCACTTTTTCACTGGAGGAAGCGTAATTATGGATTATGAACTCGTATTTTAGTTAAAAACATCTTAATGGTGGATTTGTTTCAGCTTTTGTCTTCTCCAGATGTTAACTGATGGACTGTGGATTACTTGTGGATTATTGTGATGTTTTTATCAGCTGTTTGGACTCTCATTCTGACGGCACCCATTCACTGCAGAGCATCCATTGCTGAGACACTGATGCAATGCTACATTTCTACAAATCTGATGAAGAAACAAACTCATCCTATGGATGATCTGAGAGTGAGCACATTTCCAGCACATTTTCATTTTTGGCTGAACTATTCCTTTAATGCCTAAAATTACGTTTAAGTTGTCTGCGAGCATGAAGCAGAGAAGTATGTTAGTTGATGTATTGGTGCATTAGATTAACGCAGCACTGCATTACTGCACCATTATCTGTGGTGTGGGACAGATCCGACCCTCAGTCCTCCGGGAGGTTTAGCTCGCTGTGTCACGTTGACCAGGACTAACTACCCATCCCAGCAGCATGCCTGCTTAACCAATTCTTCAGAGGTGAAGACAAACAGAGTGGAAGCAGCTCCAGAGGTTCATGTGTTTTGTAGACGGATGATGAGTCACTGCTGAATTTACTGCATGCTCCATTAGGATCTGAAAACATTCACCTCAGAGACAGATTAACCAATGAGAGACGGACTTTAGAAGCAAATGAAAAGACCTAGTTTAGTTAGTTATCTTCTCAGAGGTTGCTTGTGCTCTGTTGATCTTCTCTGGTTGCTACAAAATCACCTCTGATCCTTTGACACTGAGAGAGACCGCAGAGAAGTGCTCTCTGGTGTGTCCGTTTAATGTTTACTTGGAGTAATTCATTAGTCTGACTATCTGAAGGGGGCAGTCGTGTGTTCACTGCTGTGTGTGTGTGCAGTTGGATGGGTTTAATGAAGAGCATGAATTTCGAGTAGGGTCACCGTACTTGGCCACACGTCACTTCACTTTCACTAAAGAGCGTTTCATTTTATTTTATTTTATTTAGATACACTCTAAAAAATGCTGGGTTAAATACTAAAAAAATGTTTTGACCCAGCGGTTGGGTTACTGCCCAGAATGTTGGGTTAAACATTTAACCCAACTGTTGGTTGAAAACAACCCAATCGCTGGGTTTGTCCCTATTTAACCCAGCATTTTTGAGAGTGTACTTTCTGGCATGTCTTTTCAAAGGTTTGGGTCACTTTAAGTCAGTAGCAGTTTGACTTCCTTATTTTTTTTTATTAATATTTATTTATTTATTTATTTTATATTTACATTTTATTGTATTTTTCATGTACTTACTTTATTTAATAATAAAAAAAAATAAAAAATCCAAATTTTTGGGTCACTTTAATTCATTAGCAGTTGAAAGAGTCCTTTATTTATCTTTATTCTATTTTTTTTTCATTTATTTATTTTTTTTTGTCATTTATTTATTTTTTATGTATTTATTTTTTTATACTTTCTGGCATGTCTTTTCAATGTTTCAGGTCACTTTGAGTAAGTCATTAGAAGTTTGACTTCCTTAGAAGTCCTTTGTTTTATTTTATTTTATTAATTTATTTTTTTAGATACTTTTTGGCATGTTTATTCAACATTTAAGGGCACTTTAAGTAGTTTGACTACCTAAAGATTCCTTTTATTTTATTTTATTTTCCATTTTAATCATTTATGCAGTTTATTACATTTTTTTAGATACTTTTTGGCATGTCCATTCAACATTTAGGGGCACTTTAAGTAGATTGACTACCTAAAGATTCCTTTTATTTTATTATTTTATTTTATTTTATTTTATTTTATTTTATTATTTTATTTTATTTTAT